CCATAATGCTTATTCCTATGCAGCTATTCCAGATGTTTCAGAGCTCTCATGTGTGGAGCTTTGTAGCCAGATACATAAGTGATTCCTGGAGTTCCTGGTATTTCTATACATCACAAACTCATATATATCTAAATCTTCATTTAAATGAAGTGTTGTAGTCACAGGATTACAATTCTCTATATTATATTTCTTTAAGATTTATTAGATGATAGTTTGCTGCTTAACAGTAACAGTCTCTTTTGTTTGAGTAATTTTCCATTTCTAGTATATTAACTGTATGAGTACTTTCTTTTAAATTAAACTGTTTACTGTACTCAATACTTCATCATCTAAGTTGATAATAATTATATCTTCCATATACAGATCTAAAATTAATCTTGAATTATTCTTTTCATAACTGAAATCACATTGGTCAAATGTAAAATTTTTTAATCCACATTTTAGAAGTAATCTCTAACAGTCTGGAACCATACTCTTTTATTTTGTTTTAATCCATATAATGCTTGATTCAAATTTCATTCCAGTCTTTTATTAGTTTTTGTGTATTCAAATCTTAGCAGTTGTTCCATATACAGTAGATAGTTTTTAGTTTTTTACACAATTATGATGTAGATACAAAAACGAAACGCTGTATCTACATCATAATGGTGAATACTCCAAATTTTTATAGCAGCAAAAGCATTAAACATCAAACTGTCTGCTTTAATTACTGGAGAAACTCTCATTGTAGTCTTGATGAAATTTTTGAGCACATTCAAAGGCAAGATTAGTAGCACCATTCAAGTGCTACTAATCTTGCCTTGAAATTTCCATCATTTGATGTTTTGTCTCGTTTTTTTATAATAAATACCCATTTATACTCTATAGATTGTATTCCTTCTGATAGATTTACTATATTTCACATTTTGTGAGTTTGAAGAGAATTTATTTTTTTTTTCTGCATTGCTCCTTTCCACTTTTGTGCATTAGGTGCTCTTATGGCTTCATAATACATTTTCAGTATATTAAATTGACATTGAGCACTAAGAACTTCATCATAAGGATGGTAATCTATATCTTTACTTAGGGGAGACCAGGGCAACTTCGGCATGCGGGGGGCAAGTTTGTCAAGCGCTTTTTTTTAAAAACAAATTAAAAGGAGACTTTGGTTATAAGTTAGGCAGTTGAGTTTTATTGGTGGCTTGTTGAGTGTAGTGTTTTTATTGTTCTCCAACAAGCGTAGTTGAATTATCAAGCAAATTTTCATTTTCGTTGAATTCCATATAATATTTTTTTTCCATTTATATTGAATTGGCAGGTTTTGTTATAATTCCATGATAACGAAAGTTACTTTTCCTGTTAGAAGGATGTAACTTCAACTTATTCACGTGGCCAGATCGTGGCTTGGCATTCTGTTCTCAGGGTTGTACTTAATGTTTCGAAATCATGACTAGCGGGGTAAGATCGGCAACATAAAGCCACATTAGAAGCAAAGGATAAAAATCAAACAGATGATAAATGAAAACATGTTTGCATTTGTTNAAATGTTCGTAATTTAAATAGTTGTTCTTAAAGACTAATATTCATTTTTATATTCCTTAAAATTATTACATAAAGACACGTTAATCATTAAAACCAGTCGAAACATTACAGAATGAAATTACATTGATAAGAAAATGGTATTTCATGTGGTCTACATTACTTAAGGTCTCCTATAATTCAAATATAACCATAGGTAAGTCGTAAAATTAATGTGTATATTTTTAGACATCCTTTCTTCTCTTCTTTCGTTTCTTTATTATCTTCCATTTCATTGGTTTCTTATTTTTTTCCTTTAAACGCTGCATTTTTATCAACAACTCTATACTCACTCTTTTGTGTTCATGACTATGAAAACAAAATACTGCAACAATAATAAATATTACAAAGGGTACAGGTGTGAGATAATTCCAAATGTCATACATACTCCATAATGTTTTGCGTACGCAAGATCCATTTCTGGAAGAAAATATACAAACGTTAAGTAACTGTTCAACTTGAATCAAATTAAATCTAATAGTGCACTAATCTATTACTGTAATCTAAATTACTTGTCCTGACTGACTGACTGAGTGATGATTCATCATCGCCCAGAGCAAACCGCTGAAACTAAAGAGGTGAAATTTGGTACACAATTAGGGTATGTCGTTTACATTTTGTGTAATAAATACAGCAGTATTTATTACACAAAATTTAAGTAAAGCTTAACATGCCGATCTTGCCCCGGTCTCCCCTATATCATCTTGGAGATGCAAATCATCTACATCTGCAGATTCATGATAGTTTCTGATTTGTGATCTCAAGTAAGATAGGTCAAGTTCTTCATCAGTTTCATTGTGCTCGGTGTTGGTTTCTTCATTACCTGTTGTGTATCACAGTATCTTTCATCAGTCACATTCATTTTCATTGTCATCACCTACAGGTAAATTCAAATAATGCTTATTTTCTGTATTATTTAAAATTTCATAATCTTGAACCTGATTCCTTTTTAAACATTGTACTTTGGCACTCAATGCAAATGATAAGCAGCTTGCTATGTTTGGTATTCTCTCAGTGTGTTTATCAAAGTCAGCCATTTTGAATTTGTAAGGGAATAAAACTAATTAAAATAAACTTATAATAATCAATGTGAATAAAAATAATTAATCAATATTATAAATAATAAATTTGGTCACATTATAGTTATTTTAAACATAAAAAAACTAAATAAAGTTTTATAAAATTAAACAAAAAAACGTAATTAATACTGTGGGGTGTTTGGACACCCCACTGAGAATTGTTGTCTTTCTCTTACTGGAATTTCTGCAACATCGCAGTAATTTCTGAGCATGCTCTATACATAAAATCATNGATGACGCAATCCTTGTTTCTGATTGGCCATTGTTGGTTTTGGATTTACTAGGCGTTGATATTATTACTAACGTTCATTCGATTAAATAAAATAATATTTTATCTTAAAGCTCGATAGACGCAACAGTTAGGTAAGTGAACGAATGGCTTAACGAAGCGATTGATGAGTGGCCATATTGGTTCCTTTGCGATAGTGTATATGGCATTTGTAGAGAGAATTTGGCGGTTTGGCGGTTATTTTGTGATCTCAATTAACTTGATTTCTTTTTATCTATTTTTGTTTTAAATAGTTTGGTGTTTGGCACCGAAGTCTAAGATTTCGTCAGAAAAATGTGTAACATAGTTCCGTTTTCTTGCTAATAAGACTAGGAGAGCTGAATGGGTTCAATATTGCAGAAGGATTAAGGGTAAACAATCGACAGTTCAAGGCTGCATGAGGTTAGTGAATAAAATAATGTCAAAAATATAAATTTACAAAGTCTTTGCAATAACTTTTGTAATGTAACGTAACCGAAAGTTATAGATACATTTTGAGGAGTCACAATTTTAAGATAAAACAATGGACATTATTGCTGCTGATTATAAAAATAAATGTGTAAATTACTGTAAATATCGAAGGAACGTGAAGTTTACTGTACGTACAGAGAATAAAATCTATAGCTAAGGAACCAATATGGTGCCTCTATAAGAAACATTGGAGATCTGACCTTGTATTTATACACCTTGTGTATGTCATTTTAATTTTAATTTTATTATTTTCTTTAATTTAAATTTTTAAATAACACGATATTGAACTTATTTTAGTCGATATTAATATAATGTTCGAACTGTGGATTAGAGATGGGAAAAATCCAGTTACATTTCTGGAACTGGATCTGGAACTGATCCAAGTACAAAACTATTTTGACTGAACAGTTTTTTTGTTTTTTTGGAACTACTTAGTTTGTTGCATTCATAGGTTAATTTAAGAAAGAGAAGATACAAAACTGCCGTAATGTCTATTTCGGGGAGGTGACACTAGTGATATGGAAGAGAAACGTGCAGTATACTTCTGCGCCTGCGCGAAAACTAGGCAAAATTGCGGTAACTATTCACTTAATGGATTTTTGAACGAATAAACAATAATTATCAAGTTAATATTATCGCCTGCTCCCGAATTGGACAAGTGATATAGAGGAACTGCAATAGATAAAGTAATATGTAGCACACTTTATTTAAAACCTCCAAATTTTTCATTATACTGTATTATACTTACAGAAAATAAAACACCTTAATTTGCTGCTGAGAAGGTGTTTTATTTTCTGTGTTTACTTGCTGAGCACTTTTAATGATGGTTGGCAGTTAGTCTTGAAAGTGAGAGGTCACGCTTTTGTGCACTTCTCGTTTTTTTGGGGGGCTTTTTAGTGGTTTAACGCTGTTTGGTGAGTGTTTCTTATATATGGTTTTGTTCATTAATTAAGATATTCTGAGCATTTTGTTGGTTATTTGATTAATTTCTGTTAATTATTTGCGAAGCTACCAGAGTTTAAAGCTATTAGCTAAAACAAAGGCAGCTAAGCCTAGTTAGGCTTAGGGATCTAGTTGATAGACACGTGTTTTGTAATTTTTTAGTTTTAAGCGGGTTATCGATAGTAATATATCGTTGGACCCAGCTTGTTGCGTAGATTAACGTGCCGTTTGAAATTTTGAAATCTGTTCAGTAGTTTTATTTGTGTTTCACTCTCAGTAAAAACTATTTCTTTGTTTAGTTATCACCTTTGTAAAAATTTTTCACCTTGATTTTCCATTTGTCTTATATTATTGGATAGGGAATGTAGACAAGGGGTCGTTTATTATTGAGTTTAAGCAAATCTGTTGGGCTGTTTTTGTACGAGTTTCTGCTCAAAATGTCTTCAGATGATATCCTGGAAGTATAAGAAGACGAAGGTGATAAAGTAAAAGAATACAGAAACAGCATAAAAGAAATACAGAGATGCATTAATCAAAGTAGAAACATAAATAAAGTTTTTAAAAAGAATGCTCTAACACACATCGATTGTGTGTCCGAGCTGTTTGAAGACTTATTGTTGTTCTACCATGAGGAAAGGGATAGAACTGTTAAGCTTGAAGAAGAGTTGAAAGCACTTAAAAGCATGACTATACAACCTGAACCTAAGAAAAAACTATATGCGGAGATTTTGAACAAACCAATACATAAGACGACAGAAACAGACATAATGGTGTTTCCAAAGGAATCAGAAATAAAACCAACCGAGATGGATGAAGAACTAAAGAAGACAATTCATATTAAAGAAATAAAAGTAGGTGTCAAGGATATGAGACAAATAAGAAATGGAGTTATACTGAGATGCAGCTCCAAGGACAGAGCAGAGAGATTAAAATCTGAAATAAATAATTCTAACAAATTCGAGGCAAAGGCTCCCAGAAAACAAAATCCAAGGATTACAATAAACAAAATACCTTTGAGCTGTCAAAAAGATGTTAAAAAGAACTTGATGATATATAACACAGAGCTGCAAGATGACAACTTCAGACCACTCTTTCCCATCAACAAAGACGAGCACACTGAATTGTGTGCTTGGGTGATGGAACTAATGCCATCTTGTCGCAGGAAGTTAAAGGACAATGGAGACATAATTTCAATAGGCTGGAACAGCTCAAAGATAAGAGACTTTTATAACTTCAAGCGCTGTAACAAGTGCTTTCAATATGGACATCTTGGAAAGGAATGTAACGCCGGGGTTCACTGCCCTGACTGCTCAAAAGTGGGTCATACTTCACGTGAATGTGAGTGTGAGTTACACGAGTTAAAATGCTTCAATTGCGAGAAATATAACAAATCATGCCGATAAAGTATGAGTAGATAGAGCAAGATAAAGAAGAGAGCAAGATAAAGTAAATACCAATAATGGAGCCAGAAATCACAAGTGTCCTGTCTTTAAATACCAGTGTGAGGTAGCTAAAGCAAGAGTATGAGAATACTAAAGAAAAACTCAATTAACTTCATACAAATCAACTTAGGTAGATGATCTAGAGCTACGGACCACCTGGTAAAATATATCACAGAAAACAGTACAGATATAGCAATAATTCAAGAACCAGACCATACAGATCAGACCAAGGGCTTTCCCCAGAGATTCAAAGTACACATAAAGAATCAATACACAGCCATGGTTGTTTGCAACCCTGAACTTCGGGCTACTTTAATAGAAGAGCTCAGCAATGAGATAATGACCACAGTTTATTTGGAAATTAATAATCTGAAATTACTAATGAACTCCATTTACTTCCAAACAAGTGGCAATGTTAACGAGCAGATTTCAAACATAAAATACCTTATAACAAAAGCAAACTACCCACTACTAATACGGATAGACTCAAACTGCAGATCTACAGCCTGGTGGAACAGGGTGGAGAACGGCCATGGCATAGAACTTCTCGAATTCATACTGAACAACAACATCACACTACAAAACACTAAAAACCCACCTACTTTCTATAACCACCAGGGTTCTAGTCATATCGACCTCGCACTAACCACTGGGAACATAGGCCAGCATATTACAGATTGGTCAACATTACTAACAGAAACACTATCAGGACACAGATATATTACATTTAGTCTTCTCACAGGAAAAAAACATCAAAGGAACACAACAATAACTAAAAAATATAATATACACAAGGCAAATTGGGATAATTTTAACTTGGATTACAATAATGAAGCACAAAGCATTAGACATAATTTACAACTAGATCTACCTATTAACGAAATACTCGAGGAATACACAAAGAAAATCATACATTGCTGTAATAAAAATATCCCTACATATACCAAACATAAACAGTTAGTTCCCTGGTGGACACGCGAACTAACCCTACAGAGGAGACTATTAAATAACGCGAGACGAAAATACCAACGCTGCAAACAACAATCCCAACGAGAGACACTAAGACAAGCATATACCCAGCTAAGGAACAAGTACCAGAAATTGATTAAACAATCCAAAGCACATCTTGGAAAGAATTCTGTACTGATGTAGGAAATCAGAACCCGTGGGGCAAAGTATATAAATTTCTAAAACACCAAAGCAATATCAACCAACAAACTGTATTATTGAAGGATAAATATGGAAATAAATATATGACTAGCGAGGATGAAGCAAAAACAATACTTGACTACTTCTATCTCAAGGATGAGCAAAACACAGACAATACCAACCATAGCTCAATTCATCTCTGCATTAATCAACCATATCTCGGGGATAATGACTCCTTGTTTCAGATACACGAGGTCCAAAATATAATAAAAACACTTCAAAACAAAAACGCACCTGGGCACGATGGGATTCTTCCAGAGATAGTAAGGCACATATTCCAAATAACTCCCGATATCTTGCACAATATCTACAATAGCTCTCTACAACAAGCTATCTTTCCAAATACCTGGAAGATGGCAATATGCAAATTAATTCCAAAACCTGGCACCCAAATGCTCAGTGAACCCGAAAACTACAGGCCAATTCTCTCGTACCAGTTATGGGAAAAATTTTGGAAAAATTACTAATGAACAGAATTAATTATCACCTTCACAAAAATAACATACTTAATAGAAAACAATTTGGTTTTACCCCACAAAGCAGTACTGTAGACGCCCTATCTGCAGTTACCAAAATAATTAAAAATAGTCAAGATAACAAAGATTACTGTTTAGTAATATCCCTTGATATCTCTGCGGCGTTTGATCGTGCCTGGATTCCCAAGATACTTCACACATTACGTAGATATAACTGCCCAAAACATTTATATGATCTGACAGTCAATTACTTTAAAAACAGATGCACAACACTAAAACACAACAACACTTATATCAGAAATATCTTCCTAGGCTCTGCCTGTGGGCCGGGCTTTTGGAACATCCTAATGAATACAATATTCGATATCAAACTACCAGCGCATTGCGAACTGTTTTGCTTTGCTGATGACTCTCTCGTAACAGTCGTTGCTGATAACATTAAAGCGCTAGAAAACAAAACAAAATCAATCCTTTGTAAAATTGAAAACTGGGGCGAAGAGTGCAGAATTACATTTAATATAGATAAAACTAAGTTAATGCTAATACACAAAGTGGGCAAGCACAAAAAGCCTATGTTAAGACTACAAGGTAAATATTTAAAATATCATGAAAATATTAAATACTTGGATTGCACTCTCGACTCAAAACTCACTTGGAAAAACCATATAGATACAAAAATACAAAAAGCTGAGCGGATGCTGCTAATGCTACACAGAGTCACTACCTTACGTTGGGGTTTAAATTCAAACACAATAGACACTATCTATGAAGGTGTCCTCCTCCCACAACTAACATACGCATGCCAGGTATGGGGTCTTGCGCTAAATCGCAAATATCTTCGTGAAAAATTATTAAAATTTCAAAGGAAAATCTGCATTAAAATGATTAAAGGAAACAGAACAATTTCAAGAGAATCAACGTTGGTAATAGCCAATAAAATTCCTATAGACATTCTCATAAAAAGTAAAATGGAATTAAACAACACAATAAAAACAAACAGACTAGTCATAAATACAAAACATTATGAAATAGACTCCCCAGCCGATTTCCGCATTCTCCCTCACCCTTCATACACACATGCACAAGCAGTAGTCAAATACAATTCTAACAAACGCTCCATCATTTATACTGATGGCTTCAAATCAAAAAATGGTGTAGGAGCTGGTTTCTGTCACATCAAGGATAATAAAGTACTCCAATGTTCAACATTTAAGCTAGAAAATCACTGCACAATAACACAGGCAGAAATATTAGACATAAATCATGCACTAACAGTAAGATACATTCTAAAATATAAATATAATGACACACTCATATGTACAGACTCTAATGTATCAATTAAAATCATGAGCACACCTAAAGTTAGCAGTAAACTATACTATAATATTTACCTACTCTTCAAAGCAAGTTACACCAAACACAACACACAAATGTCTTGGATAAAAAGCCATTCAGGTTGTGGTGGCAATGAGCTTGCCGATTTACTTGCCACAACCGCTTATCTAAATGACACAATTAAATACAGTGACATACCTGTGGCATTCGCTCGTTTACATCTCCAGCATTGGTCGATCAGGACATGGCAAACTCGTTGGCCATGTCCTGATCGAAAAAAGGAATAAAAATATATAAATGAAGGGGAAGAAATAAAGGACAGATTACACACAAGTTTTTCCCGAATTTAGAAAGTAGACACAACTGCAAAATTATAACCCACGATTTTCGGCTAATACAAATACTTACAGAACTTGGCAAATTCAATAGTTATCTAACTAGATTCAAAATTATAAATCAACCGAACTGTAACTGTAAAGATAATGTACCCGACATTGTAGAACACATAATATAAGATTGTGCTCTTTTCGACCCTTGGCGGAAGCAACTCATTACGCACTTCACAAACAAATTGATTACCTGGCCCGTGGCACTAATCGAACTCACGCAGAACGAAGACGATCTTAAGATCTTCAAACGTTGTATCATAGAAAGCTTCAATAAATATGGACCAAACTAGATAAATACCCTTCTCCTGTCCTAAATGCACTTTGTATAATTTAATGCACTCTGTTCTCTAGATCTGCACCTACCGTGTTTCCCCGAAAATAAGACATCCGCAGAAAATAAGACCTAGCACAGGTTTTGCTGAATTGCGAAATATAAGACCTCCCCCTGAAAGTAAGACCTAGCGAAGTTTTTTTAGTCCTAACGGTCATGGACAGATGGTTGAAAGTGGCCGTTGGCTTTTTGAAAGTACAGCCACTGATTGGTCAGCAGACAATTACGCCACAAGGCATGATTTGCATAGGACTATGGCTTGGGAATCACAGATTTGCATAACGTTACGGCTGGTGATGGCTAATTGGTCGNAAAGAGTCGCAGGTTGCCGACCCCTGTCCTAGGCAGATCTCCCAAGTGTTCCGTTGCCATAACTTAATCAAACAAACAAAGTCCTATTAATAAACAAGATCCAAACAGAGAATATAGAAACAAAAATGTAAACACTGAATACTTTCAATAGCATAAAAGAATTTTTAAAATAAACTTTATTGAAATTTCAAACGATAGTCAATACTATAAGGCATATCATTAATGTTTATTGTAAATAGGATAATATTCACACAATATTTTTAACCGATACATATTTTATTTTTTTCATATGACTACATATGGGCAGAGAAGATACTGTATATGAATTTTCATTATAACATCACTACAATTTGATATATATGCGATCACATAATATATTGTATGAAATATATGTGAAATATATAAAATTTTGTTGAACATGATTTATAAAATACAATTTAGTTTATATAATCATAAGTATAAAATTATCTTACTGATACATCTTAAAAATAACGAAATTCTTTCTATTTCGTTTGATATCTCAGGATGGGGTAAAGATTGAGTAACGAAATGTAGCATGGTGGCTTGTATATGAGGGTTGATGCTGTTAAATATTGGTGGTTAAAAGTCGAGAGGCTGAAGAGATAAAGAGGTTGTCATATTTCACATCTTGATAGGGGTAAAATTTAATGAAGATTTTATTCGTTATTAACAATTACTTACATATATCACCCCTACCCTCAAAATTGAGCCTTTTGCCATTTTATAGTAATTAAAAATATAGAAAGTCTTTTATAACAAAATCTCATAACAGATAGCGTCACACAAAATTTTATTTTGCTTAAATTAATAATAATATAAAAGTTATTTTTTAAGTAAAAGCTCATAACAGTGGAAAAGTTATGCAACTCTCGTTGCTGGATTTTCTATAATCAGTATTTAAATTCCAGAAATAAAAAAATTACAGTAGCTAGATTTATATCATAAATCAGAAATTTCGGTAACCGATCAACAATCGATCGAATTTTTTTTTTTTAATTTTCAAATCTACATTCCAAATATTTTTTAAGTATTCGATTGCAAGCGTAGAAAATTCAAAATTTCATTCGGTTCGTAAAGAACTTTTCGTAATGCATCAATATTTAGTGATTCTACTTCTAAAATCATTTATTTGTGAAAATATTGCTGACGTAGGAACTATTGAATCAAGCAATTATCAGATAAGAAACGTAAAAAGTGTCGAATACAAACGGACATCTAAAGGTATGCAACTAGTGATACAAAGAAGAATCTACAAATTTCACGTGCAAAAAGACAAGTCAAATTTCCTGGAAACGACTAAATTATTTATCTATGGAGAAGAGAAAGTTGAAATATTGACTTTCTCTAACATACCCGGATCGTACTTATATGAAGGAAGTTTAGAGGGACGAAGCGCATCATTAATTTTAGGATATTATTTCGAAAATATGTTTATAGGAATCTTTAAGCATGGACATAAAACATTTTACATAGAGCCAAGAAACGAATATTCCTATGATAAGAATGATAGAAGCGGAGTTATGTATGACGTCAAAGATGTGGTACTAAAACCATTTTATCCAGATGGAAAAGTGATATGTGAGGCAATGGAAGCTGAAAGCTTCCTGAAAATAAAATCTTTCGAAGAAGATAAACATTTTGATTCCAAAATGCAACATTATAATGTTTTAACCGACAACAAATTACGAATAAGGTTAGTGGAATATACAATGTTTTTCGAATAATTCGTTAAATTTTAAATAAACAACTTTTAAACGAATTACATTTTATAACTGGACGAGATTTGAAATGTTACATTTCAAATCTCATCCAAACATTTGTTTTAACAGAAATATCACAGTTTATGAAAGGTTTCCTGCTCTTTTGGTAGCCATACTTAAGATCGAACACGCAATATAGAACGAATACAATTTAAAATTTAAAATTTACGTTTTACATAACTAATTTTGTTTCTTGTAAATTTAAAATAAAAAATTAAAATAAAATAAAACACAAAACATAACTACAACGGATAAAAATAAAGCTAAAATACACTATAAAAGACCGAAATGATAAAATCCAAAAAACATACCAAGAAATTAATTATTTAAATATATTTTAAATTATTCGGAGCAAGTGGCAAGGGTTTAATTCTTCCAACAACACCTTTAAATGGTATGTCTGAAAAATGCTCTAATTTAGACGAATTAAATATTTCAACAAATGAGAATTCATTCGTGTATGAACGTATCGAAGTACATCACACAATTTAAGTAGGCGAACTCTGTGTCGTCATCTGTCCTCTTGCTTTTTACTCGAGGTTCTCCCCCTCCCACTTTAATGCCCAATTTTGGTAAAGTTAACGGTTGCTCCAATTCAAGAATTTTTTCCCATTTTTCTGGATGAGTAGTTTTTCGGAAACTAACGGATGTGTCACTCACGGAGGAAACGCTATCCGTGGAAAATTTATGAAGTTCCTTGACTGCATTTATGAAATGGAATACTTCTCCCCTTTACTTTTTGACTAAAGAAAAAAATAATAAGATTGCAGTCGTCGAATTTACACTAGCTCGGGTTCCCACTTATCCAATAAAGGCCAAATATGCAATGGTACTGTACTGTACATTCTATTGCCAACGATTTTAATTTCGAACGTTTCATATTTAGAAGTGAGTAGTTAGAAGTCAGAATCGCTTCAGACTCGAAACTATTAAAAATAGTTCCAGGCCGAGGGTCGGGACAGTTCCAGTTCCGGAACTACCTATACTTTCTTCATTTTGTACTTTTATAAATACGGCTTTTAACTGAACAGCGAATTCTTTATCTGTATTTAGACATACAATTAATTGGCAACGTTACACGATTTTTAAGAAATAATGAAATGAATTTTGAGTATTTTAAATTTATAAATATATTTTAAAAAGTTACACTTTTATTCGAATTCTTAGTCATTTGTTTTTGTTAGTAAACTAATGGATGTGTACGGCATTGCTCGGCCAAAAAGTAAAAATGTTAATAGTGGATAAAATCAGGGAAGGAGCGGGGGTCTAGGTTTAACGGTAGTCTATATTCCCCTCGGAGTTTCAGAAAATAAGCAAGAAAGATATAGTAAAGATTGACCAAAAAGCTAAGAATAGAGAGAAACAAATATTCTATTATATACTGTATATATATATATATACAGTATATAATAGAATATTTGTTTCTCTCTATTCTTAGCTTTTTGGTCAATCTTTACTATATCTTTCTTGCTTATTTTCTGAAACTCCGAGGGGAATATAGACTACCGTTAAACCTAGACCCCCGCTCCTTCCCTGATTTTATCCACTATTAACATTTTTACTTTTTGGCCGAGCAATGCCGTACACATCCATTAGTTTACTAACAAAAACAAATGACTAAGAATTCGAATAAAAGTGTAACTTTTTAAAATATATTTATAAATTTAAAATACTCAAAATTCATTTCATTATTTCTTAAAAATCGTGTAACGTTGCCAATTAATTGTATGTCTAAATACAGATAAAGAATTCGCTGTTCAGTTAAAAGCCGTATTTATAAAAGTACAAAATGAAGAAAGTATAGGTAGTTCCGGAACTGGAACTGTCCCGACCCTCGGCCTGGAACTATTTTTAATAGTTTCGAGTCTGAAGCGATTCTGACTTCTAACTACTCACTTCTAAATATGAAACGTTCGAAATTAAAATCGTTGGCAATAGAATGTACAGTACAGTACCATTGCATATTTGGCCTTTATTGGATAAGTGGGAACCCGAGCTAGTGTAAATTCGACGACTGCAATCTTATTATTTTTTTCTTTAGTCAAAAAGTAAAGGGGAGAAGTATTCCATTTCATAAATGCAGTCAAGGAACTTCATAAATTTTCCACGGATAGCGTTTCCTCCGTGAGTGACACATCCGTTAGTTTCCGAAAAACTACTCATCCAGAAAAATGGGAAAAAATTCTTGAATTGGAGCAACCGTTAACTTTACCAAAATTGGGCATTAAAGTGGGAGGGGGAGAACCTCGAGTAAAAAGCAAGAGGACAGATGACGACACAGAGTTCGCCTACTTAAATTGTGTGATGTACTTCGATACGTTCATACACGAATGAATTCTCATTTGTTGAAATATTTAATTCGTCTAAATTAGAGCATTTTTCAGACATACCATTTAAAGGTGTTGTTGGAAGAATTAAACCCTTGCCACTTGCTCCGAATAATTTAAAATATATTTAAATAATTAATTTCTTGGTATGTTTTTTGGATTTTATCATTTCGGTCTTTTATAGTGTATTTTAGCTTTATTTTTATCCGTTGTAGTTATGTTTTGTGTTTTATTTTATTTTAATTTTTTATTTTAAATTTACAAGAAACAAAATTAGTTATGTAAAACGTAAATTTTAAATTTTAAATTGTATTCGTTCTATATTGCGTGTTCGATCTTAAGTATGGCTACCAAAAGAGCAGGAAACCTTTCATAAACTGTGATATTTCTGTTAAAACAAATGTTTGGATGAGATTTGAAATGTAACATTTCAAATCTCGTCCAGTTATAAAATGTAATTCGTTTAAAAGTTGTTTATTTAAAATTTAACGAATTATTCGAAAAACATTGTATATTCCACTAACCTTATTCGTAATTTGTTGTCGGTTAAAACATTATAATGTTGCATTTTGGAATCAAAATGTTTATCTTCTTCGAAAGATTTTATTTTCAGGAAGCTTTCAGCTTCCATTGCCTCACATATCACTTTTCCATCTGGATAAAATGGTTTTAGTACCACATCTTTGACGTCATACATAACTCCGCTTCTATCATTCTTATCATAGGAATATTCGTTTCTTGGCTCTATGTAAAATGTTTTATGTCCATGCTTAAAGATTCCTATAAACATATTTTCGAAATAATATCCTAAAATTAATGATGCGCTTCGTCCCTCTAAACTTCCTTCATATAAGTACGATCCGGGTATGTTAGAGAAAGTCAATATTTCAACTTTCTCTTCTCCATAGATAAATAATTTAGTCGTTTCCAGGAAATTTGACTTGTCTTTTTGCACGTGAAATTTGTAGATTCTTCTTTGTATCACTAGTTGCATACCTTTAGATGTCCGTTTGTATTCGACACTTTTTACGTTTCTTATCTGATAATTGCTTGATTCAATAGTTCCTACGTCAGCAATATTTTCACAAATAAATGATTTTAGAAGTAGAATCACTAAATATTGATGCATTACGAAAAGTTCTTTACGAACCGAATGAAATTTTGAATTTTCTACGCTTGCAATCGAATACTTAAAAAATATTTGGAATGTAGATTTGAAAATTAAAAAAAAAAAATTCGATCGATTGTTGATCGGTTACCGAAATTTCTGATTTATGATATAAATCTAGCTACTGTAATTTTTTTATTTCTGGAATTTAAATACTGATTATAGAAAATCCAGCAACGAGAGTTGCATAACTTTTCCACTGTTATGAGCTTTTACTTAAAAAATAACTTTTATATTATTATTAATTTAAGCAAAATAAAATTTTGTGTGACGCTATCTGTTATGAGATTTTGTTATAAAAGACTTTCTATATTTTTAATTACTATAAAATGGCAAAAGGCTCAATTTTGAGGGTAGGGGTGATATATGTAAGTAATTGTTAATAACGAATAAAATCTTCATTAAATTTTACCCCTATCAAGATGTGAAATATGACAACCTCTTTATCTCTTCAGCCTCTCGACTTTTAACCACCAATATTTAACAGCATCAACCCTCATATACAAGCCACCATGCTACATTTCGTTACTCAATCTTTACCCCATCCTGAGATATCAAACGAAATAGAAAGAATTTCGTTATTTTTAAGATGTATCAGTAAGATAATTTTATACTTATGATTATATAAACTAAATTGTATTTTATAAATCATGTTCAACAAAATTTTATATATTTCACATATATTTCATACAATATATTATGTGATCGCATATATATCAAATTGTAGTGATGTTATAATGAAAATTCATATACAGTATCTTCTCTGCCCATATGTAGTCATATGAAAAAAATAAAATATGTATCGGTTAAAAATATTGTGTGAATATTATCCTATTTACAATAAACATTAATGATATGCCTTATAGTATTGACTATCGTTTGAAATTTCAATAAAGTTTATTTTAAAAATTCTTTTATGCTATTGAAAGTATTCAGTGTTTACATTTTTGTTTCTATATTCTCTGTTTGGATCTTGTTTATTAATAGGACTTTGTTTGTTTGATTAAGTTATGGCAACGGAACACTTGGGCGATCTGCCTAGGGGATGCCTTCCGGGAGGTCTTTTTAAGAGTAACTGGCTTATTCAGACGTTAACTGTTATAAATTACAGTTTTATTAAATAAATTAAAAAATTAAAAACAGAAAAATGCAATTTTTAAGTGAATAAGGTCACATCTCAATGATATAAGGTTTATAAGCTATTACACAATTGTACTGTACATTTGATAGGATGTGATGTAAGAGCGTGCGCAATTATGTCACAACTTATATCAGAGGACCCCAAACTTTTGAAGAGAAAAGTCACATTACTAATTTTGACAACAGCAGAGGGCCGGAGCGATTTAATACCACTTACAAATATGTAAATTAAAAAAAATAATAATAATCTTAATTTAATAAAAATAATGATAATAAATAATTTATTAAAAAATTAAGAAAATACATTGCAAATATCATTTATTTTGGAATGTACAAGTAAGGAACATTTGTGTTTTTCTGTAATAAATGAACGCGACAAAAACGAAGCAGAATAATAACAAATGCATATAACACTAACAATAAACTGAAATTACAAAATGAAAACTTATTAGTTAAAAGCTGTGAGAATTAAGACTATAAACAGAACTAATACACAGTACATAACTGCTAAAAAAGAGACGTAAAAATGTACTTCGCAGAAAGTAAACATAAAACTATAATACTTCTTTTATCAAAATATACGTTGTGGCTCACCAGTGGCCAAGCGGTTCCGTTCCCTAAACACTGGGAATTCGCTAGAATTGGCTGGTCACTTGAAGTTTTCCGGGTTGTCTCTACATCTGTAACGCCTGAATAGGGGCCAGTTTCCCTTAAAAAGTCCACCCAGAAAGCAACCCCTCTAGGCAGATCACCTAAGTGTTATGTTGCCTATAACTTAATAAAAAAAATCAAAATATATTTGTCAGTTGTCAATGTGATCCATGAAGTTGTTTAGACTTGCCAATTTTTAATATAGGCTATTAGGTTTAATATTGGTCACTTCTAAACGGAGCAAATGTTGGTATGTCATATCAGCAATTAGGTAACCATCCAAGTTTTGAGTTTTTCCAGAAAATAGGACTTATGTTTCGATCCTATTATTTAGTCTCTCTGAATTCAGTTCAAATCGTTTAAATCAATGAGAAAATATATTTTAAATTGAAATTTGCTTAATTGTCTACAAGCAACGCGGGCAGTAGTTTTGAGGATCTCGGGCTTATATCACTGATATGCGACGTCGTTCAATTGAAAAAGTAAATTTTTCAGTTTGCAATTTCTTAATTATTTAATAAAGCTATAGCTTGTTACAGTTAAGTGAAAGTAAAATAACTTGGCTCTCCAAAGATTAAATCCTTAGTGCCTCACTGATAGATCGGACTGAAAAGAATTTTACTTCTAAAGAAATTCTAGGGAATCACTGAGAATCTGATACAGTTGACACGTACGATAATGGTAATACGTTTATTACTGAAAGCATTTTGCCTAAATAACAACCATAATGCAATGACCACTTTAAAGAACATAGAGTTAGCCTGATATATTCGAATTTCAAAGTTTACTTCATTCCTATCGGCCACAGAGCAAAACTTCATATTCGTGCGAAACATCCAAGGAATACCGAGCATGAAATGTTTACTCTTGGAAATGATGTCAGAATTCTATGAAAGCTTATAAAATTTTTCAAAATGGAAAGTAACCTATATACTTTCGAGAACAATCCTGAATGCATGTACAGTTTCATAAAAATCGGTTCAGCCGTTCTTAAACAAACGAACAGACTGACAGTAACCGACATGAATTCAATTTTATAGAAGAAAATTCTACGTGTTCCATTTGTTCAAAAAACAAAAGAATAAGAAGGTCCTCTAAGATTAGTTTAAACGGGATTAGTTTTATCCCCAGTCCACATAAGCTCTCGGCGGTCCTGTTCATTAAGTTTATTAACTGCGTGAATTTTTGTAACTACGGATGATATTTTTGTGGTTGGTACCTCACTGTAGTCACAAAAATCACCTTTCACTAAATACTGAAATATTTTGTGACTGGTGTTACCGGTAAATTTACGGTAATCACGACTGGTGAAAACCCACTCATCACTAATTCCTGTGTCCAGAGTGAACCGATACGAAGCCAGTGATCTAGTCTTGAGATTATTAAGTTATTCGTTGCACCCAGAATTGCATATGGAACGTGCGGTACACATATTGCAAGTATCGTTGCTACCTACTATATCCAATTAGATGAACGTGTCGTTGTTCTGGTTTCGGCTGTGCAGGAACATAAACTGGTGGACAATCATCGCAAAATTGTGAAGATGTCAGGGTGTCGTGCATGTCTAAAACCACCACTGTCAAATTGTATGGAAGTTTCCTGTAGTCGCGTTGCACTCCTGTTGGAAATATCGTCAAGCAGAAATTGGACACCGTTAAATTGTAAGCCTTGGACACACCCACCATATAGCCCAGATTTTTCGAAATGTGATTTTCACTCCTTTGTCTTATGAAACGTCTCTGAAAGGGCGACGGTTCCAATCAGCCGATGACGTAAAGAGGGTTGCATCGGACTTTTTTATGCAGCAGCCAACCAGCTACTGTCAGATGACCCCGTAAACTCGATTTGTCAATGGGATGATTATCTTAACGCCAATGGCAATTTCTTTCAAATTAAAAAAAAAAAAAAACTACCGGGTTCTTCAGTTCTGAAATGGAAACTTTTAAATTTTTCTTTATATAATTCGTAAAATTTGGTAAAACCAGATTGAAAAGTGAGGCTCAGCAAAAACATCTAAATAAAGAAAACTTGTGAAACTTGTGCCATAAGAATACTGGAACCGAATTGAACAATAAGACACAAAATATGAACAATGTGCACATTAAAACAATAATGTAATTATTTATAAATATTAAATTGTATTAGTGTAATTAAAAAACTATATTAAACATATATTTAATAGCACGTTCGCTTAGATTTTTTAGCAATTTGTGTTGCTATATACTATCGTTGAAAATCTAGGTCAAAAAATGCTGACCAGTAAGTCAAAAATGATCCATATATTTATACAAAATTTAAAAACTTTATAGTACTCATAATGGACACTAACCGTTTTAAATTTTATTCAAATTTGACCGTTGGTCGTGTAGATATTGAGTCAAATTTGGCACTTAAACAAGTGTGGCATAGATTTACTATAGATGACTTTATAATACAATTTATAATACATATAAATATAAGTATTATGTGAATTTAATAATATTTCTTTTTGTGTTCTATATTTCGTGCTGTTTTAGTGTTATTCACATGTTACTTTGTTCATGTGGACAGAATTAGTGTTTTAAACGCTATCGTTCAACTTGATTTATATCAAGTCCTCAAATCAACTCAAATTTCATCCACTACTAATTAAGACAGAAGGTTGAAACCTATGACACTTCGATGTAATGGTTTTAGAAGTGGCCGAACAAGTCTCCCAAAAGAGGATAAACATAACCAAATGTGGAATTTAATTACACCGTATGATACGTGTGTGTAAATGCACTATAATGGTTTGTGTCAATCGGGAACCCCTCTCATTTACATCCCAATATCAAAAACGATCAATTAAAGCGTTTTTAAAAATTATTTTCTTATGTATTAAAGTTATTTACATTTTTTTCGACATTCTTTCTTATATTCTTTATTTTCTTTTTTACTTTTCGTGTACGTTCTCGTTTTTTATTTTTTTTCTTTAAACGCTGTTTTTCAACTAATAGCAGTATACTAGGTTTCCTGTGTTTTTGACTTTGAAAACAATTTATAGCACCAACAATAAGTAATATAAAGGGTAAAGGTGTCAGATAATTCCACGTATTATACATCTTCCATAGTTTTTTACGTACGCAAGATCCATTTCTGAAATAAAATACATGAACAATAAATATTAATTAAATTTTGAATAAACTTAAATTAGTAGTACATTAAACCAAATCTAAATAGTAAGTAACAAGAACTTTTCAAATTTTATGAAACAGACAGCTTCTTGTTTAAATATTTGTAAATATCCGGTCATTCTAATAACATTACGTATTTACAAACACGCTATTTTTAAATAATAAAGACTATAACTTATTACTGAATAAGATAATCTTTTCAACAATATACCTTGTGCATACTCCATATTTATTATCGCAGGAAGTTCCGGGCATTTTCACGTAGAATTCGTCTTCGGATGGAAAAAACTGCAAGTCTTTAGCAGTTTGGCACCTACTCGTTTCATTCCTACAGCAAATGTGACATTCGAAACGACTGCTCTTACATTGGCAAAGTTTCATATTGTGATCGCGACAGACGTTGCTGTTGCATAGTCCTTTATTACACGTTCCAGAATTTTGTCTGCAAGGCGTACCATCCGGTTGTTTCACTGCAGAACAAAATGCAGAAACTCCATCGCAAATTGTGGTAACGTTAAAGCATTCCATATTACTGAAACACCTCCGTTTTCTGTCAGATTCAATAATATTACAATTATCGTCGCAGCATTGTCCTTTACTAGGAGAACAAGTCATTCCCTCTCTCACTGTACACCGCGATGATTGTACACTAAGTGTACAACATTTTTCAACAGCTGTACAGTTTTCTGCCGAAGAATCGCAGTCGCACGATTCTCCTTCTTCTACAACTCCATTTCCACAAGTCGATAATTCTCTTCTCATTAGACAATTCTTTATTCCTAATTAGAAAAATAAAAGCATGAATTTCTGTCATCAAAATAAATTTGTAATTGATTAGATAAAGAGATAATTAGAAGATTGCGTCGAATAACGTAGCAAGCCCCGAAATAGCCAAATTGAAATTTTTATAATAGATTGTGCACTATGAAACGATGCAGCGAATAGTATATTTAACCTACTATTTAAAAAATCCGACTGCTTATTCTGAAAAATTTTCCCAACTTATCAACTGCGTGAAAAAGCGTTGCATGCGGATGAGCAGGCGTTTACTCTTACCTCGTCGGAGCTGTGTATGCAAAATTTATGAAAGAGAAGGCGTTATAAACCTTTAAATTAAATCAAAAATTCGAAAATGCAGAGTCAGAAAATGAATATTTGTGTTTCAGTGGATAAATTAAACCAGCTGTAAATCTTTCGAGTGGGATGAGTGCAAAAACGATGCGAGTTTAGCCGTATGGGGCACGCAAAGACGAATGACGTAATGAACCACAGTATTTAAAAAAATATTCTAAAGCCAAAGCATCTGAAAACGACCTCGACAATATGGGTTTACATTACGTCTGATGACCCCTACAGTCATCGGACGTCAAGCTCCATTGATAAATTTCTAGCCATAAGATGCGCTTTCCTTACTGCCGTCGACAAAAAATAGTGCACATAATGCAGTTCTGAATCGCTTTAATGCCTCCAGAACATTCATCTGCTACGTGCTTAGAGTAGGCTGCTCCCAATGAAAATTGCCAAAAAGATCAGCTGTCCATGTGCAAGTTCCTGAGTTCAGAAAATTCAAACTTTTGCACATCCTAAAGTCAGATGAAGAAAGTATTCCAAATAAAGCACAACTTTTCACTTGACAATCTGTACTTTCATTAAAGGTATTTTCATACTTTGCTAGCGAGATCTATTATGTCACAAGCAACCTTTATCCATTTTTCTTTCCTATATTCTTCTTTATTCTTTTTCCCACTTCTCTTGTACGGTCGTTAAATTTTCTTAAATAAATAAATAAATGCCGCTTATGAAATGATGTGTCATGAATATTAGAAAAGAACATTGATTACGAGAGAAATGTGTACTTTAAAGACAGAATCTTGCTTTGAAACCAAAATATATAATACTTTTAAAGTGTTGCCTGCATCTTTGGTCCATTACATCGAGTGTTTTATCATCGTATTCTAAACTATTTCACGGTGAAAACGACCCAACTTTTCCAAATATCATTCCTACACCTTTAACTGAAATTAGTCATTGTTTCAACTGCTCCGTGAAATTTTGGAATTTGCCGGTTTTTCGCGTTTGCCGGTTCTGAAAATGCTACTTTAGCGCTTGCAACGTTATTTGACGAGAACATTCAATTGTTTAATTTCTCAAATAATAATAATTTAGAATGAATTTCAAAATTTACTTGAAGTTCTAAAGAAATTCTTTATCGTATTTTTGCAACAAGTAGAAAACTGCCAATTATTTTGAAACACACCATAAGATATATTCGGGTGCATGATATAATTGCCTTGTTTCGGATCGATATCTCCGGGACTACAAAATCGATTATTTTCGGGATCGTGGTGACAACCGAATGCGTGTCCCAATTGATGAACTAAATTTAACGGTATTCTAAATCTCGGAATAATTTCATTATTTTCTAAATTGCTAATAAAACCGACGTTATCCATACTTTCCGATGCTTTGGAATCAGAACAGATTCCTCCAATCTTGTTGACTTTGGAAACTGCGCATTGCGAGTAATTCCAGAAATCTCTGTGACTGAAGCAGATTAACATACAATACGGATGACGATACTTGGATAAGTTCTGTAGAAATATTTTGTAGTCATTAGTCTCTGTGCCGAAGAGTAGTTCGGAATCATTTTTACTTTCGAGTATAGTAATTTTGTCAACAGTGAATGCAACGTCATTTCTCAAACCGTCTCCATCGAAATCTGTATTTCGGAATATGGAATCGGCTATCTTAATAAATAAAAGCATTTGGGCGATGATTTTACCACGCTTGAACTGTCGTAAAATTA